GTATATGGAAAATAATGTGTTTTTTTAACCTTAAACCGCATAAACACATTTCATTACACCAAATACACAAAATAATGTTCTTTTTTAGCAACGTCATATGACCCCTTTAAGAGGGATTTCTGGAATGGTGTTGTGTACTGGCTGTTCTGTATTCTACAGGGCTCATCAGGATTCGTCCTGAACGCCCCCAACATCACAAGCCTCTCACATACACCAGCCGACCCGCAACACTTTCTCACACACTACAAAAGCAAGTGAGTCATGTCTGACTGTCTCTGTCTCTTCCTGGTACTTGACTGGCAAAACTGATTGCTCATTTATCTAATCTGACTGTCTGCGCCCTGTAGACATGGGCAACTACTGCATTACATTGTTTCAAACCTGGGGGTTCAGTGAGTTCTCATTGGCTGCTGGAGGAACGAATGTGTTCTGATTGGTTGCTGGGTGGATGAGTGTATCCTGATTGGTTTAAATTAGGTTTTCATCCTTATAATTGTTGCAGGTTTTGTGACAAATCATCAGTGGGGCAGCAGAGATCTGAGTGGGTGAGAGGAGGCGTACAGAGACATAGAGAGAGCGGGTACAGTGGACGAGACACGGATAGGTACACACATAAACACATCATATACATGTATTCTTTCTTGTACACCTGAATACCTGTTAATAACATCCACTGTTTGTCTCTCTCTTTCACACAGGTTTAATCTTAGTGGATCTAATGTCCTGGCTTCACAATAAATCTAAAATATTCATTTAAACTTAATACTGTCCAATTTAGCTTGATCATCTCTATCTTGGCATTTTCAGACAAAGTTATATTGCTTATGTTTAGAGGTGTTTGCTAAGCATCACAAAAATTCTGGATCATATAGGGTTAGTGATTTTAACAAAGCCTTAACACTATGAAAGGCATGATTTGGTTCAAAAACATTTTTTATTATGCTGGTTGAAAGTCTCTTCACATCTCGATAGCAATCACTAAGTTAAAGAGAATAATTAACATCTGCAATGATTGTAATCATTTTGAGCAGGTTGTCTAAAACCTGATGAGCAACATAATTATTGACGTAAGACTGAATGCAAGACCAGGAAGTGTTGCTTAAACATGGTTGCTTAAACAACAGATTGCGTAGAAGAAATATTCACACTCGTATGCACATTGTCATTCATAAACCGATACACACAGATATGCACAAATTATGTACACAAGTTCCTAGCCATGCCGAGAACGGAGTGGCACAAAATGAAAGCTCAGCTGGCTGGCATATGGTCACAGTTATGGTGCCTGCTTAGGTTGGTGGGTGTGTGTGTGTGTATGTGTGTACCTGGTATTTATCACGTTATGGGGACCAAATGTCCCCACAAGGATAGTAATACTAGTAAATTTTGACCTTGTGGGGACATTTTTGAGGTCCCCATGAGGAAACAAGCTTATAAATCATACAGAATTAGTTTTTTTGAGAAAGTAAAAATGCACAAAGTTTCCTGTAAGGGGTAGGTTTAGGGCTAGGGTTGGTGTAGGGCAATAGCACATACAGTTTGTACAGGATAAAAACCATTACGCCTATGGAATGTCCCCATAAAACATGGACACACAACATGTGTGTGTGTGTGTGTGTGTGTGTGTGTGTGTGTGTGTGAGCTTCTCTCTCTCATCTCAGGGCCAGTGTTCACTCTCCCACACAAGCAGATCGTTCATTATCCTTAATAATCGTTGTGAGAAAGAGAATAGGGATTGATTAAATAAAGGAACACTGGTCTTTTTAGCCAGTGCTTAACACTGAAAAAGAGACTCAAGTGCTTGTCTCTAAGTGGTTTGATGGCTGCAGAGGTGTTGCTATTTTGCAGTAAATTGAGCTGTTTGGTCATTAAGCAATCAAGCATTAATATTATTATTGTTCATACATGATTTGAAAAAACACTAAACATAAGTATTAAACACTATTTGATGTTTGATTCACCGTTTGCACTATATGGACATAAATGACACGTCAAATTTGCCTGGTAAAAAAAAAAAAATAATATTTCGTGCCCAAAATATCAGAGAGCCAATA